CCCCAAAACCCCAAAACCCCATAAGAAAGAAAATTAGAAGAAAAATAAAATTTTTTAATGAATAATCAATTTAGCAACTTTCTTAATGCTGGCCTATTTATGTAATAATTAAACGGCTTAATGCAAATGTAAGCTGCTCAGGCTAATGTGAATCATTAAAATATCTTAAATCCAGAGCAAATTCAGTAATAGTAATAAAATTATTACTTTGATTAGAATGCCATAAATTAATTCAGATAATACTACACTCCAGAGCAATTATTAAAGGGATTTTAAGAGTATCAATATACTCAATCAATATAGTAAATGTAAGCATACTAATAAAACCAAATGCTGCATTAACTAAAAGAATAGATTCTAAATCTTACAATTCAAAAGAACTCAGATAATGAGGTATAGGTAATTGAGCATCATGTTATTTCTGATAATGAGGTAAGAGATGAAGATCTTTAAATGTAATCACCTCAATTCAGTATGGATAGCAATTAATGCTAAAATTCAAATTAAAAATCTAATCAGAAGTCAAACAAAAAGAAATAAAATCAATGCAATTTAGGAGGAAATCAATAAATAGGTGTTAATTCAAAAAAGAAGCAAAAATATAAAAATTAGTCAAATGAAAAGGAACTAATCCTTTATGGGAACTAATTAGTGATGCCAAATGAAAAAATCAATGATGTTCAAATTCCCTTGCAAAATGAAAAGCAATATGATTCTGTTTAAGATTTAATAGCAGATATAAAATCTTATGGGAGAGAAGCAGGGTTCGCTGTTGTTATATTAGAGAAAAATTAAGCTAATTTTAGAAAATTGGTATGCACTAAATCAATATCAAACACCAAAATAAATAACTTACAGAATCCTGAAAATAATCTTGATCAAGATATTATGATTTTAGAAGAAGTAAATTAAAACTTTGATAATCAAATTCAATCTCCTTGTCCCTTTAAAATGGCTTTGAAAAAAGATGAAGTAAGTCATAAATGGTTTGTAGAGTCATTAAATAACTACCATAATCATAACCTTAAGAAGAAATTACCTTAATATTATAACTCAATATCCAGAAGTAAAAATTAATAGTTATTAGGAAAAAGATCTAGTCAAGAAGCAACTGAATAAAAAGAGAAATAGTCTTAAACTGAAAATTTAAAGCATGAATTTAAGACTAAGGAATAGTTAACCACCTATTTAAGCGAGGAAATAACTTAATCGATTGGGAAATTGTGGTTCTAGCATGGCTTAAGAAAAAGAGATGTTTAAAGAGTGCTTAATTAATAAAGATTTGTTGAAAGCTCTCACATAAAAGAATTTTTAAAAGGATTTTAGTCACCAAAATTTTAATCTGTGTTAGAACTAAGAGACTACTTGAAATAGTAACAAGAAGGCTTAAACAATCTTTGGTTTAAATATGACGATTTCTAGAGTATCCTTTCATTCAGCTTATGCAATCAGTATTATAAATAAAAAATGAGTGATATAATTTTCGTTGATAGTACATTTGATAAAGGATACAACATTATACTTGTCAAAGGTTTAGATTATTATGGCCATCCAAGTATATTATTTATTTCAATTACTCCTAAGTATGATTATGGAAACATTTTATCTGCTTTTGAGCATTATAAATAAGCAGGTTTCGCTAGGCCAAAACAAGTCATAGTAGATTCATTCAATGAGATATAAGATGCCTTTGAGAAGATTGAGAGTTGCCCGGATTCTTTTTAAATTTGTCATAACTACATAATAAAGAGTTTTATTAAATCTATAGAACCTTAATATTTCAAAGGAGTAAAAGTATCAAGATTGATCAGAGAATTTAAGAAATTGATAAACAATAGTATGACTGAATTCGAGTTTTAACAAAAATTTAATTCAATTTACCAAACTCATAAAGATAGAAGCGATTTATTTTCTAATACAGCTAAACTCATTTATAAGCATAGAGGCTAATTCTTGAAATGCCTAATAAAAGATAAATTTAACATGGCTAGTTAGTTCTCTTCAAGTAATAATGATGATGTCAGTAAAATATTAAAAAGGACACCCTTAAGAAATGAGAGCATATTTTAATTGAAAGGATTAAGTTGTCCATGGATTTATATAACTCTCAATAAATTCAAGTAACTTTTGGCTAGATAGATGATTGGTGTTCGAATTAAAATGAAAATACAAATGTAGGGACAATTAATTTTGATAGTGTCGAAATCTTATGTCTTGGGTATCCATTCCATATTATAAAAAGAAATTTGGAATAAATGAAAAATCTTGAGGCTACTAAGTTTGATAATTAACTTTACGTTGTTAGTGATATACCAATAAATTAGACTTTTCAAGTGAAGATTGAAAATTAATAAATTATTTGCAATTGTGATTATTATAAATCTCATAAACTACCTTGCTCTCATCAATTTAAAGTACTGGGGGGTTTTGGGGTTTTGGGG